TCCCCGCCCCCCCAGCATAGCCTTGCATCTGCTCTGCAAGGTGCTCCTCACTGAAAAACCATAAATATCCAAGCAGAAACCCAGCAGCAAACCTGCAGAACTGAGCCACCAGATTTGTTCAAGTTTTTATGCTTCAATGATTTTTTTAAAATTTTTTTTTTCTTTTTAGAAAAATGTTGTGTTGCAATGTGTGTTCCCTGCTACACAGAACAGGGAAGTGGAAACACGAGTTATTTAAAGCCATGGCAGGATGGAGAGAAAGCAGATGAGCCAGGAAGCTCAGAGGTTCCCACCAGCGCTGCTGAGCCCCAGCTGCGTGCTGTTACGAAAGGGAACATGTGCCTTTGGGAGCAAATCAGCAACCCAGAGCCCCCTGGGAGCCCCAGCCAGCCCCGCTCTCCCGCAGCAGAGGTAAGAGATGCGAACGTGGCACATTCGGAGCAGCAGCCCTGGCCGGAGCATTGCGACAGCCGGTGGTTGCAGAGCTGAGCGCGGGGCTTGGTGCAAGCGCTTCTGGAAGCGTTCACTGGTGTCGTGCAGGATGGTGCTGCAATTTAACCAAGAGGCAGATCCGTGCTGGTTTTGTCAAGTTGCGCTTAGTTCCGAGCCTGCTTTAAAGGAGGGAGCAAATCAACCCCAGAGCTATTTTCTTCTCGTAGATGCAAACGCAGCGTGAGTGAGCAACCGTGCCAGGACAGGGCAACTGTGTCCTGAGAGCACCGTGCTGAGGGCATGAGGGCTCAAATCCGTGCAATAAAATAGGCAGAGGTTGCTGCCTGCAGGGCTCTGCGTGGGTCAGGAAAATGTCACGATCCATTAAGGGGAGTCTTGAGCTTCTGTGAATCAGGTGCCCAGAAAGAACCTGTTCTTTTTCCACGTTCCTCTCCCTCCAACGAACACAAATAGCCACGACCCAAAATAAAGTATGATTTCATATATATGGCATGAAGTATATGCAAGTAGTCAAATGATGTGGAGAAAGCTGCACAAAGCCACGAGAGGACTTTGGCATGTTAACAGACCTGTTGTGCCTCACCCTGCTCATAAAGAAAAGGACATGGATGATTCAGTCCTGGCCCCGAAGGAAACGCATCCATCTGGCGTCCCCGATAAGATACCTGCTAATGTAACGACGTTTATTTGACTCCGTAGGACTGTTGGACACTTTCCTTAGACCAAATTGTATGTACAATATGTGTGCTGACAAATCAATTATGGAAAATACTAGGTAGTGAATACCGGGTATTACACAGCAGTTTAGAGACAGAATTAAATCTTAATAGGGCTGGGAACTAAGCAAGGAACCCTATTTGTTATCCCTGTTTTACAGAAAGGAGGTAGGGAACGGAGGCGATCTGCTTCCCTAGCTTGGTTAGCATTAACTCCACATCAGAAATGAGGAGTCAGCTCTCGAGATATAATACAATTCCCCAGCATTTTCCCCAAGGCTTTCATTAAAAATAATAGAGAAGGACACTGCAATCTTGGACAACCTAATTTTGTTAACTCCCCTATTGCATTCTTTTGTTACAGAAAGTATTCTGGTGCTCAGGCTTGGAGGAGTTAAAAACCAATATTGAGTTCAAGCAATTTGAAATAACCTTACTCTGCCCAGTCCAGAGCAGAGCAAAACCCGATGGCAGTTCACAGCTGGGTGCGTAGCTTCATTTAAAATGCAGGCAGACATTTAATTTGTATGATAGAGAGTTGTAATTTTCAAAATAGCAAGCTGAAAACTTTTTGCTCCTCTTATTAAAGAGTTTCCCTGCCAGGGAGAGGTTTGCAGGGCTTACCCACGGCAGGGGGGGGGGTGCACGGGGCGGGAGCCGGAGCCGCTCTCTGGTGCTGCCTGCGCTGCGGGCAGTGGCATCTGCCAGACACGGAGCCTTCGGCACTTGGGCGTCAGTCCCATCGGTGTGTGGGTATCCGTGTTTAAGGCAGTCAGCAGAGAAATTGTGCATTTTCTGCCTGTCCCCTCTGCCTGCTTCCTCCCGAGGCGAGAAGGGCAAGCAGATAACGCTGCTTAGGTCAAAACCATTTATGAAAGTCAGCGCTGTGTTCCTGGGTGGGGGGGGCTTTCTTGCCCCAGGGCGGATCGCGATTGTAGCACTGTTGCATCCTTCAGCAGGGCTCTAGGAAAAGCGGGGTGGGGACGGGAGGCTGTTCCCAAACTGTCACAGGTGGCCTCTGCTGTGACCGTGCACATGACAAGGTGCAGATTTAAGGTACTGGTTCTGCACTGTGTAATGAGACGTTCCTTCTCTCAGGCCTCTCTCCAGCAATTGTTCCTTCTATGTAAGTTTATCCAGAACTAAGGAATTATGTTTGTCCTTCAGAAACTTCACAATATTATCGATTTACTCCCCGGACTGGTCTTTGAGGTAACTGCATCCCCAAAGTAGATAAGCGTGCTACCGAACCCAAATCTTCCCCAAGTCTGGCTACTTGATGATTTGTGTATTTAAATGGGCAAAAGATTCTGGAGGTATGCAGAACTCTTCACAGCTGCTCCTCTTGATACCTGGCTCTCATTTCACGGAGGAAATATTTTACTATTAAAAAAAAAAAGTTACTGGTGAAGAAGCTTCATCCTGAAGAGGTTGCGGGGCCGCGTCCCTCTCGCCACGACTGGCTCTTAGAGTCAAGGAAAAAGGGGAATGAGATGGAGGGAAAGCTGATGCAAACTGCCCAAAACTGCACTGCACTCATGGGAAGACCTAGAAAACGTGCTGGGGAACAACGGCGAGCAGAGCACAAACCTGGAATTCAAGAACCGAGGCACAGACTACGCTCAACGAGCGTGCATGCATCAGTCACATTTATCGGTGCATCGTTTGCAACGCAGGGCGTAAGGGAATAGGTTATAGCAACTGATCTGCACTGGTGATACGCAAGCCGGAACGTTGTACCACCAACTGGTAACCGAGGCTTTGGAAACCTCTGCTACCACCAGGCATTTCCCTGTGATGGGACCACGCGCTGCCGGCAGCGGGGAACGTCCTCGCTCGACGCCTAAACTCAGAGGAGCTTTTGAAGTCCTGTTATGACCACGAGACGAGCATCTCTCTCTGCATGTGATACGACGTTTGTGAAAGGCCACGTGATTAGAGTGTGTTAGGCTCTTCTTTAATTAAGGGAGGAATTTAGTGCTGGTGAAAGGGCCCAACTGGCTCCAGGAAACCGGAATTCTGTACCTAATTCCCAATCCAGAACTGCATAACTTGGTAAAACAATACCAATAACCTGGCTTTTCCTAAGCACACCTCCGAGGCAAAAATTCCAGTTTCCAGGGCCCATTTAGTTACCGACCTCTGTGCCGAAGCGTTCAGCAAGGAAACGAGTGCTCATTTTAAATGGGAACAGGAATAAGAGTAACGGCAAGGCCGTGAGCTCCCACCTTCCAGGCTTTCTGGGTCGGGCTGGACAGGTGACGTTATTCCCTGCCAGCACCTGAGCCCACGTCCCACACCACCTCTCTTCTAAAACTGTAACATCTTGCTGTACAATTTAATAACAGTTCAGTGCAAATGTGTTGGCGATGCTCAGCAGCTCAGCCCGTTAGCGCCAGAATGCTGTTTTTGTGGTACTTCCACAGTTGTATCGCTAAGGGCAGGCAAACGCTGGTAAAAAGAGACTTAAAAAACTCCAAACATTTACAGCATTTAGCAAAAAGGGAGTTGTACTTTAAAGGCATCCACGTCCTACATTTTAAATAACGTAGATACTTTGTTTGGGAGAGTTCAGGAGAATCACCTCAGGTTTTCCAGGTCACGGTCCATATCACAGGGCACTTGCTCTCCCAGTGAGTTTGTCAGCATGTAACAGCATCAACTTTTACAAGGATGAATTACAGCAGTTCAGTGAACTTTTTTTTTTTTAACCAAAGAGATTTTATTTTCTAGGCAACGAAAGAAAACATCCAAGCAGTGATATTGACACACTTCCCTCAAATGGAACTGATTCTCTGTTAGCAGACTTCCAATGCAGACGTGATACAGCAAAGCTAAACACTCTGGATTAAATAAAGCTAATTTTAAAAATACTGCAACTGAGAAATACCTCAAAAAAAGAAAAATATTTTTACACACTTTCAGAAATCCAGGCAGGATACAAAGCTAAAATCTAAGTGTTGCTCCCCAAAGTCAATGCATTTGCAAACATGGCAGACAATAAATATGTATCTTCCACTTCTGTTTCGGAGACACCCGCAGTCACCTCGTATACCTCTCTGAGGTAGCTCTTCTGTCCTTTTCACAGGTGGCAAAGGGTGAGGATCAGCTCCTTGTCCACGGCCTCTCACCGCTTCGGTGTGAAAGCCGAGAACACGACTCGGGGTTGACAGTCTCTCGGTCTCATTCCTAGACAGCATTTCATCTCAAGTAGTTATGACACAGTGTAATCTTCAAGTTCCTTTGGACTGTCAGGTATTTCTTTAGGTTTCTAAGCTTCTTGAGGGCTGGGTTTAATGCTGAGTTTTGGGTGTGGTTTTTATTTTTATTTTCCCCCTAATGATAAGCTAAAAGCAAAGTGGGGTTTAACACTGGAAGCCACGTGGCTTTTTACAGGAAACTCCCAACAGTGCTAATGTGTATTTTAATACTGAATTTAAAAGAACCCTGGTCCATAGTGCTCTTGATGATTCTATTCTTTATACTTAATTATTCATGCCTCAAGTCAGCAAAGCACTTATGTAATTATGTTCCTTCTTCAATAAGACCCTCCTGTATTTCAAGGTCCAACTGGGAGCCTCTGCTGAGAACTTTGCTGAAACGTGCTTTTTATAGAAAAGTTTTTGCTGCACCAGGAGTTTAGCCAGGTGCCTTAACAAATGGAGGCCTTTAAAACTGTATCTTAGGTTCCACTTGGGAAGTGGGTTTATCTCTGCCTCAGTCTGAAGATGCACGTTCTTGCTCCCCACTTGTAAAAGTGCAAGGAAGGTAACTCAAACAGAGTAACAGAATAGCAGGCTAAGAATATTTTAAAATTCAATAAAACAAGTATGTGTTGCAGGCATCTCAAAGAAAAAAAAAATAAATCCCCTTCAGTAATATGCACCTTTACAGCACCTTTTAAAAGACCTCGAAAGCACTTGCTGTTAAGCCTCACAACCCCGCTGTGAGGTAAGAGATATTGAATCAATTTCCACTTCCCTGATTCTGAACAGCATGAGAAGTAGGGCAGTTTACGCAGCTTATTTTGTTCTGAAAATTAAACTGCACCCTTCATTATCAGAATTAAAGTCTTGCTACTGAACAGTCATCGGTGACAAACCAAACGCATTAAGGCAGAATGCAGATGAAGAAACTTCAAGCCTCCCTTCTGGGTTAGCACTCTGTCCTTCTAAAAAGGGCAAAACTTTTTACCGGCAAAGAGTGAGAACTATACCTTAAAGTGCTAATTTACAGTATTTGGAATCTGGTACAGCTTAGTAACACTGTGGCCATGGGATTGGCTATACCCAAGAAAAGTCTGCTTAAATGTATTTAACAGATGCAAATTAAGTCACTTCCCTAGCTACTGTATTTCCCTCTTGCCAGAATTTCAGATACTATTGTGAAGAAGAATCCAAAGTATTTCAAGAAACATGCCTATGTTCTGATGCAGTGTAAACACCAGGGGGTTGATATTATTTTTCAAGCAACTAAAAACTACCTACGGAGGATTAATAAGTTTATTCAACACTTAACCATCTACTCATTAATGTAAAGAAGGCTATCTTAAAGCTTAGAGGCCATTTCTTTCTCTAAAGCCATGACTTCACACAAACAATACAGTCTACTTCTGATGGTAACAGCATAGGGCAGCTTTGGAGATACTCTTTCCATCAAAAATTGGGCACCAAACGAGCAGTTTCTCTGCTTGTACATGCAGAGTCTGATTCTTAGCGCAAGTAATGCCAATACGTGTGTTTGCCAAACCCTTAGATTAATTTAAATACCCTGAAAACATAATAGAGAGATTAATTCAGCAACTCAGAAGCTAGATTTCACACTAGCGCTGAACAAGCCTGATTTTCTATGTCCGCTCGGATCACGTACACAAAGAGATTATTTCAGAAATCGAGTTTTAGCTGCCAGTGTACACCACCTGCCAAAGCACTATAACTTAGCATGCGAGAAGATACCTATTTCAAATCCGTTGGAAAAGTCCCTAACCATAACAAACCCGTGCGTCTTGGCCATCATTAAGTTAATACGCTTTTCAAGCTTTGTGAACGGAATTTTATGATTACATAGAGCTTATCTGGAAATCCAGAATTTTATTCCGGATCGGTGAGGTAGTCGATGTAACCATCCTCATGCAGATGTCACACTTCTCCGAAGTTGGTGTGTCCAGTCTCCTTGGCGTGTTCTCGGGCTTCCACTTGTCCAGTTAGTCCCTTCTGGCACACCATACACCTCAGCGTAAAGCGATTCACATCGGTAAACTGCCTCTTCCGTCTGGCTTCATCTGCCAGCTCCAATGCTTGCGCAAGGACAATATCATCAGCTGTGGAGAAAATGGTCTGGGGAGGAATGTCCGAGTCGGGGATTTTACGCTCAAGTGGATCGTAATGAATCCCATCATAAATTAAAAGGACCCGCTTAGTGTAACCGGCATCCTCCCCAAAACGGTCGATTCTGACTGTCTGTGTGTCCACCACACAGATTTCGCACTGGTAAAATTTGGATAAAATGGACACTTCGATGGCTCCTCCCCAAGTCTCTTCTCTTCTGATCCAGTCACAATACTCCCTGTTAGTTTTCCCTAGAACTGCCTCACAGTAAGATTCGGGATCGCTTGCTACTATCTGGGCTATGAGGCTGCGCATCTCTGGAGCGCAACCCGGGTCGTAAACGCCTCCCTCCACCACGTAGTAGACACTGGTGAAGAGGCAGGAGTTATCTGCTGGAACAACCCTCCTCGCAAGCACAGGCACGGCTTCCCTAACCGAGTTAGACATCGTTCTTTTTGCCACTACAGGCGAGTCGGTCTTGGGCTTGGACGTGTCTTCTTCAACTATCAGAGTGTCGCCTGTCAAAGACAGAAGGAGGAGGAGTTGAGAGGAATATGGAGAGGGCAGTTAAAGGCGATGCCGCCCCCCAAACAGCCCCACTGCAGTGTTACAGTTAAGGATCCCCCTCGTTGTCCCCAGCCGGTTGCCCCCGTATCCCGGCGGAAAACAGCCACAGCCCCAAGAGCCGGTGGCACCACACCTCGCTGCCCGAGCGCAGGCGACAGCCCCGGCGTACCCACCTGCGTGGCCC